AGTGTAACATAAGTTAGCAATTTCAAATTTAATTCTTTTTACTATTTCAATATAATGTTGAAATTAGCATGCTTTAAGAAAAATATAATATATGCAAAATAATGGCTATTTGACCCTTTTTCCCCTTATTAATTAATTAATAATCATTTTGTCCCTTATTCAAAACTATCACCAATCTGCCCCTCTTTAATCGATTAACTTCAAGATTTAACCGATTAAATGGTCAAAACTGGAAAAAAATGGTTGACTTGAAGATTTAATCGATTAAATCTTCGAGTTAATCGATTAAATCTCCTTCTTAATTGATTTAATCGATTAAAACTTATATTTAATCGATTAAATATCCCAAATGAGCGTGAAATCATTGATACCAACTCGTAAAATGGCAACTCTTAATAAAACGCAATCAGCTCTTATTAAATACAAAACACAATCAACTCCTATTATTAAATATAAAACGCAATCGGCTCCTATTAAACTCAAGATTTGCAATCAACTCCTTTTAAATACAAAACGCAATCATCTCCTATTAAATAGGCAACAAAGGTCAAATCTTCTTCATAAGCAAAAGTAGTTGATTGCGAATCTTGAATTTAATGTAATACTTAGCAAAATCTTCAATCAGTTTTCCGTGTATTGGATGTTATTTGAATTTAATGTAATAGGAGCTGATTGCGTTTTGTATTTAATAGGAGCTGATTGCGTTTTGTATCTAACAGAAGTTGATTGTGTTTTGTATTTAATAAGAGCTGATTGCGTTTTAGTAAGAGTTGTCATTTTACGAGTTGGTATCAATAATTTCACGCTCATTTGGGATATTTAATCGATTAAATATAAGTTTTAATCGATTAAATTAATTATGTTTAATCGATTAAATCTTCGAGTCAATCATTTTTTTTTTAGTTTTAACCATTTAATCGATTCAATCTTCAAGTTAATCGATTAAAGAGGAGCAAATTCGTAGATAGTTCTGAATAAGGGGCAAAATAATTATTAATTAATTAATAAGGAGCAAAAGGGTCAAAAAGCCACAAAATAATCCTATAAATTAATATTGAACACTTTAATTTTTAAGTATAATAATATCAATGAGCATAATAATATTTCATAACCATAGCACGTATCACGCTCGTGCGGATGCAGAAAAATTGTAAATGGTGGGGCCTGGACCAACAGATAATTTCGGGTTCTAGGCCCAAACGCGTTTTATATTTTTCAGATCGGTAATCGTTGCAGAGAACTCCCCTTTCTTCCTTCCCTTTACCGTGAGACACTGTGAACTCCGTTCACCTTCGCCGGTAAGGCTCTTCCATTTTTTTCCTCTCGATTTTGCTGAATTAAAAAAAGAAGAAGAGAGAGCATACATTTATTTAAATTTTTCATTAGATTAATAATATAGTAAACCCGTTGAGTGAGAGAAAGTGCCAAAGGAACACACAATTAGGTTTAATTTTGATAGGTCGGAAATGAGCGAGAGGGAGAGAGAAAGGGATGAGGAGGAGGATTGGGAGTTTAGCGATAAGAGGAAGCAGAGGTTAACGAAGTTTGGGAATAGGGACGAGGGTGAATGTGAAGGTGTTGGTGAAGGTGAAGGTGAAGGTGAGGATGGTAGCGGAAGAAGGAAGAGGAGTATCATTAGCAGAGGCGATAGTGATGATTATGATTACGATTCGCGTTCGAAGCAGATGATGATGAAGAAGAGGCAAGAGGAGAGCACATTGGAAAAATTGAGAAGTTGGTATGAGGATGGAGAGTTGGATGCAGGTGATAAGATGGGGAAGAAGCTTTCCTCTAACTCCAACTCCAACTCCAAAGAGGACTATAGATTTTCTGATAAGAGTGAAAGCGGAGGTGGCGGCAGAGACAAGGTTCATGGATCTTCTGAGCAGGTCAAGAGTTCCAGAAGGAAATGGGATGAGGCTGACACTGTCAGTGTCAGGACAACACAAGATAGTGTTTCTGAGAAAGGTGATTTCAGGAGTTCTGATGCTAAACGCGGTGATGATTCTAGGGCGACGAGTGGATCTGCTAGAAATGAGCATGGGGAGAGTAAAACCTCTGGCAGTGATAAGGTTTTCAAATCCAATGGTAAAGAAGATAGAAGAGATGATTCTGAGAGAGGTAAGAGTAAAGGCAATTCAGAACCGCTGGATGTTTGTGGGGATGATAGAATTGAGAGGCCTAGGCCCCACAGAACACCTGCCAGTTATGATGTGGCTGAAACTTGGGATAGGCCGTTAAATGCCGATGAGGATGGAAATGTGCGGTTTAGGGATAAAGCTACTCGAGAAACTGGGAACACAAACAGATCGAGGACGCCTGAGAGGAGTGGAAAACGCCATCAAGATTCAGAAAACTCAGAGGTGGATTGTGAAAGAAGTAGTAGCTTTAAAATGAACGAAATTGAAAATGATGGCTATAAGGATGATAGATCCAAAGGAAAAGACGATACTTGGAATGACAGAAAGAAGGATCGGGAAAGTTCTAAAGAAAGTTGGAAAAGGAGGCAGCCGAGTAATATTGACAAAGATTCAAAAAATGAGGATGGTGTTTTGGATCACAACATTGAATCATGGGAGTTGCCTAGACATGGTCATGAGAGGCCTGACAACGAAAGGCCTCATGGTCGGTCTGGTGGTAGAAAAGATGTAAGCAGGGGGGAAGCTGTTAAAACATCAACAAAGTTTGGGATTTCGAATGACAATTATGATGTGATAGAGATCCAGACCAGGTCCTTCGACTATGGAAAAGCAGAATTTGTATCCAACCTATCCAGGAGAACTGAAACTAGTCAACAGTACAATGCTAAATCAGGCGCTAATAATGAAGAATGGGCATATCATCAGGATGAAAGAGCAAGAAAGAGTGATTTTTCTCGTTCTGGGACACCTGGTGAAGATCAGAAGGAGAAATATGCTGATGATGACTATGATTTTTATGGGGGAAGAGGAAGAGGTCAGAAAGGTTTTGCATCTGGTCGCATTTCTGGTGGCCAAAGTTCTAGTAGTGGTGGCTCACAGCCTCAATATGGAAACCTTGAGTCTGGATCCTTTAACAGAGCTGGTCCACAAGGACTAAAAGGGAACAGAGTTAGTAGAGGAGGAAGGATTAGGCCCACTGGGAGAGACAATCAGCAGGTTGGAATGCCATTGCCAATGATGGGGTCACCTTTTGGACCACTCGGCATGCCTCCGCCTGGGCCAATGCAGCCTCTTACCCATGGTATGTCACCTGCTCCTGGTCCTCCGATTTCCCCTGGGGTCTTCATTTCACCATTTAATCCAGCTGTTTGGCCTGGAGCTCGGGGTGTTGATATGAATATAATAGGTGTTGCACCTGCAGTGTCTCCTGTACCCCCAGGACCTTCAGGCCCAAGATTTAGTGCTGCTAACATGGGGAACTCACCAAATCCTGCAATGTATTATAACCAATCAGGCCCTGGAAGGGGAATTCCCCCAGGCATTTCTAGTCCTGGTTTTAATCCTACTGGACCAATGGCTCGGGGAACACCACCTGATAAAACTCCGGGGGGATGGGTTCCTCCTAAAAGTAGTGGAACTCTTGGTAAAGCTCCTTCCAGAGGGGAACAGAATGATTATTCTCAAAACTTTGTTGACACTGGTATGCGACCACAGAATTTCATTAGGGAGCTTGAGCTCACAAATGTTGTGGAGGACTATCCTAAGCTTAGGGAGCTTATACAGAAAAAGGATGAGATTGTGGAGAAATCTGCATCTACTCCCATGTATTACAAATGTGATCTGAAAGAGTTTGAACTGTCTCCGGAGTTCTTTGGAACAAAGTTTGATGTCATTCTTATAGATCCCCCATGGGAGGAGTACGTGCACCGTGCCCCTGGTGTTGCTGACCACATGGAGTACTGGACATTTGAAGAAATAATGAATCTCAAGATTGAGGTAAGCTATTATTCTGTTTGCACAACACATTCTTTTGTTAGGCTTTTTTCATTCTAAGCATTTTCATGCTGCTTGGGTTTCAAATGCACGTAAAAATCTTTATGAGTAAATTGGTTGCCCTTATTACTAATTATTTTAGCACTCCATGCTGCAACTGAAGGGTAAGATTAAAAATGGTAAATTGGCAACAGTACATGTGGTATTGAAGCTTATGCTAACCTTATAAATTGCAGTTTTTGGAGTAATTCTTATCATATGATGATCTATTGCCATGGGAGTTCCTTTAAAAGTTAGTTGTATATATTAATTTGTGTGATATATTAATATATAAATATATAATGCTTCCTTCCTTCTGGTTTCCTTTTATAAGTGCATTGTGTTGTTTTCTTTTGAATTAGACATCTCATTTGTTTCCCCCTTTTCTTTAGGCTATAGCAGATACACCTTCTTTCATCTTCCTTTGGGTGGGTGACGCTGTAGGCCTTGAACAAGGTCGTCAATGTCTAAAGAAGGTACACAATCTGGATGTTGGAATTGCTAACAGGATTTAGCTTTAATCATTGGTTATGGTTCTTAGCATATCTTTTTATGTATCCTATTGCTTTATCTCTTTCTTTATATTCTTTTTTCTTTATGGGGTTTGGGCTGGGCTTCTACAGTGGGGATTTCGTAGGTGCGAAGATATATGTTGGGTAAAGACAAACAAAAGTAATGCAACCCCAGGACTGCGGCATGATTCACATACTTTATTTCAACATTCAAAGGTCAGTTGAAATTTGTATTATGTACATCCACAGCTTCATTTCAACATTTGAGCTTGTATATAGTTATTTTGATGCTAAGTAGATATAGTAGTCTTCCTTAAACTGTTTTGTTTTGTTGTGGTGAAGGAACATTGCTTGATGGGCATAAAAGGAACTGTTCGTCGAAGTACTGATGGCCATATAATTCATGCAAACATTGATACGGATGTAATCATCGCCGAAGAACCTCCTTATGGTTAGTATTATCGGTTGCGCCTATAAAAAATAATGTTCCCTTTATTCTTCCAAGCAAATACCCTTCTGTCCTAACGAAGATGAAATAGGTATAAACTACGAAAGCAACAACAATAACAAGAAAATCATTTTCCAGCTAGGTTATATGGATCAAACAACACGCTTGTGTCATGTTAAAACTCAAGCTTTCAAAAAGGGTATTTAAAAAAAAAAAAATAGGTATAAGCTGCCAAGCATCTATATCAACATCACCTTTATCTCAAATTAGTTGGGGTCGACAAAGCAACAAAATAAATATCGCAGAGCAGAAGCTCAACACAAAAGCTGATAACAAATCTGATGAAATCCTATTCCAACAACTTCTGACTAGTTAGGTGACAACTAGGTTGTCAGTAGCGGCCCGTAGCGCCGCTAAACCGCTACCGTAGCGGGTAGCGGCGGTCGGCCGCTACAAACCATGACGCTACGCGACATTGGCCGTAGCAGAAGGTAGCGGCGTAGCGTACCAGCAATACCTCTACCCGCTACACCACTCTCATGTTAGAATTTGATGGAGAATCCAGAGATGATGATGATTTTCTTTATTAGTTCACTTTTTGTACTTGACTATTTGACAATTTTATTGTTCAGTTGTGTTTAATTTTGGATCCTTCCTTTATGTTCCTTGTATTTGACATTGATTGTGGAATTATGTGTTTGATTTTGTGTGACTTCTTATGTTTAAGCATTAATACTAAAAGCGGTATTGCCTCGTTTCTTGACTGTTAGTATAATATATGTGGAATTAATACTTCACCGTAGCGGTAATACCGCTACCCGCTCAGTGGCGGACGCAGGAATTTTAATATGAGGGGGCGAAAATAAAAAATACTATATCATAAATAAAAGTACTTGAAATACAATACAAACTTAATATACAAAAAATTGAAAGAAATCTATTACATAAATTAATATCACTTCACTTACTCTTGCTCCACGTGTTTTCATATTATTAAACTCATATATAATTGAATCCGTGCTAAAACTCAAAATAATTTCTTTTTCAATGTATGTAATTAAAGATAGTCTATGACTATACATACATGCAATAATATTAGGAAAGTGGTACACAGCCAAAATTGAAAGGCTGAAGAAGGAGGTTGGTGATGGACGGAACACGGAAAGGAGAGAGAGGATGATATGATGTTTTCAAGGAAAAATATGGGTAAGGGAGCGTTTGGCAGAGGAGAAAAAACTTTTTACCAGTGAAATATAATTACAGGAAAAATGGTAGGAAAGTCAATTTGATGAAATTTTTTTAAAAAAGATGTTTGGTTGACCGAAATATTACCGGGAAAATTTATTTAAATTTACAAAATCTAATCTATATTTGGGAGGAACTTCACACCTGTTTTTCCACTTCCCCAGTTATCTCAAAATACCACATCTCAAGTGGTATTTTGTAACTGTGAATGTCACCTAAAAATCAACATCAAAGTCGATTCCTAACCTTCCTATTTGCTTAGTATTTTTTTTCAAAAACTTGAACCAAACGTGATATTTTTCAATATTCACCCACACTTCCCCATCTAACCCAAAATAAAACTTATACCAAACACACCCTAAGGTGGTGTTTGGTTGGGGGTTTTGTTGAAGAAACTCAGGCAACTTTCATGTGTATTTCCACTTGACCATGTTTGGTTGAAATCTAAAAGAAATTTAACCATGAAAATCATTTGCCCAGCTATTCCAATTTGAGTGCAAAATCTCATGAAAAACAGTGTTTCAGAAACCCAATTGGAAGGTGGTATTTTGGATTTGCCCAGCAAAAGAAAATGGTGCATAATTTTGGAGACGGAATTGACCCTCTCATTTACTGTTGAAACAGAGTCTCTTCGGTCTCTTTTCTCAGTTCCATTCATCACCACTCGTATCTCCAATGGTCCAATAGAATTGTCGGCGACTCTTCCTTGTCTATAAACCGAGTTCAGAGACTCTTCCATGACTAAGCAGCACTTGTTCAAAACTTCATTTGTTGGCGGGTAAGAAGAGTCCTTCATCAACAATTCCCAGTAAATCACGTAATGTCCTGGGATGGATTTAGTATCAGCAAGTGTTACTGTTTATCTCATTTCAGATTCAAAAATTGTAAAGGGTTATTTTTGTCATTTCAACTCATTTTCCCATCAATATTTTATCTTCAACCAAACATAGACTCAGAAAATTTAACTCAATTTTCCCAGTAATATTCGGCTTACCAAACAACTTTTTTTACATTTTCCTACCAAACTTACTTTCCAACCATTTCCCTGTCAATTACATTTTCCTAGTATTCAAAAAATTTCTCCTCAACCAAACGCCCCCTAAGAGTGTGGGCAGAAGCATGGGGAACTGAAGCAAAAAACATGTACAACACGGTAATTTCATCATCGCATTTTTCTACATATATTATAAAAAAAAATCCAAATTTTAGAGGGGGGCGGGGTCCCACCCTAGCCCCCCTACTGGGTCTGCCCCTGTACCCGCTACACCGCTATACCATTTTCGGGGTCGGCCGCTACCGGCCGCTAACTGCTATTGACAACTATGGGTTACAAACGTAAAATGTTACATAGGATTGGACAGGAGGCCCAACATGTTAACCATAGGATTGAAATGAGAAATTTTACATCCTCCCTCCTTATACAAAGTGGAACTCTGGAAGAAATATATTCCTCATTTCAGTCTATTACCTTGAGAAAAATAGTCGTGGGCATTGTAGCCCCCATTAATACTTACAATCTGAAAGGCTGGTCCAGTTGCCTTACTTGGCCTCGGACATAAATTGAAAAATTGTATACTTCAACTGGAAAACCAAAATTGAGTAAAAGCTGTTTAAGATAAAATGCTTGGTTTCTTATAACTACCTTAATTATTAAAATGTTTTTGTATGGAAGAGTAAAATGGGTGCCTGTTAAAGTTCTTGCTTACATATTACAGGTTCAACACAAAAGCCTGAAGATATGTATAGGATTGTTGAGCACTTTGCCCTTGGAAGGAGGAGAATTGAACTATTTGGTGAAGACCACAATATCCGAGCCGGTTGGCTGACTGTTGGTAAAGAACTATCATCTTCCGATTTTAATAGAGAGGTAAGAAATTCAAAATGCCAGTATACCTACACGATATCTCCTATCTCCCTTTTTTGTTTAAATTAAATTGATTGTTTTTATGTATTTTTTTCTTTAGAAGTTGAGTACATTTTACACCATGTTATTTGTTCCTGTAGAATATTATGACCTAGTGTGTTCTGAGAACAGTTTTCTCATCATAGGCTAAATTCTTGAAAATAAATTTGAGCAGTTAGCACTTATTGTTCCATTTTTAATTGGGTCATTTTGGGCAATGACTCTAACCCAATGGAAATATTGGTTCAGTGGCTATGACAGGCGGATATCAAAAAACTTGTCCCTATAGCATTCTTGTCTATATGAACTTGAAATTTCTGAAGTAGCTGAGAACAATGTTTTTCGTGCACCAAATTTGAAAAGGCTGAGGGAAATTTTGAGGTTTCTAATTAAATTAAATTGCTGGAAAAAGAAATTCACTTCATCAATCATTGTTTACTATTATGACATACAGACAAGGAAGTTTCAGCTAATTTTCATTAAATTAACCAGAGAATAGTTTCCATTAAATGAGTTGTTTTTGTTGTTAGATGTTATAGATTATGCTTAACTTCATACTTAAAACATTCTTCCAGCCACCTTTCCGACCAAAACTCTTAATCTGATAATAGAATTTTTTGAAACATATCTTACTATCTAGCTCACGCAGTAGTTGTGCGTTTTTATCTTGAATTTATTTCTTCCACATTAAGATTTTATTCTATCTTTCTAAGATATGCATTATGTTGGCACCAACAGAGTTTGTGCTCATTATTGTCTCCATTATTTGATGCTGATTGTCTGTGTTCTCTGGACTGATTAACCACATTGATGGATTTGGATAATTCAGGCTTATGTTAAGAATTTCGCTGACAAAGATGGGAAAGTTTGGCAGGGAGGTGGAGGAAGAAATCCACCTCCCGAGGCACCTCATCTGGTGGTAACTACTCCTGATATAGAGGTTCTTAGGCCAAAGTCGCCAATGAAGAACCAGCAACAACTGCAGCAGCAGCAATCATCAGTATCCATTTCTTTGACTCCAGCTAGCGCGTCAAACAGAAGACCTACCGGGAATTCTCCACAGAATCCAGCTGCACTGGGTGTTAATCAAGACTCCTCTAGCTCAAACCCTTCTACTCCAGCTCCTTGGGCTTCACCTCTTGAGGGCTTTAAGGGACGTGAAGGCTCTATATTGCCTTCAGATGATAAAGTAGATATGTATGGGTTTCATGGACCAGCAACAGCAAGCTATCTAGATTTTGAATCATTTAGACAGATGAATATGTTGTAGCATAACTCTCAGGATGAACTTGTAGGATCATGGTAGTTAAAATCCCAATTTAAATCTGCGATTTTATGATTTTTTTAATCAAAATGATTTCATTAAAATTCCAAATAGTTTTACGATTTTTTACGATTTTTTTTATGTTATAATTTTACGTTTTACGATTTTCTAATCTTCCTTTCGATTTTAGGTAAAATCTCGATTTTAACTACCATATGTATGATGATATATCGTTTAATTCTTTTTCCCTGTCAATATAAATGGGAAGAAAATTATTCGCATTTTGTCTGTTCATTCTTTTGGTAGCGCTGGTGATTGCATTGTTTTATTAGAGGAATAAAAGAAAGCGTTGGATTACGGTAAAATTAGTAACATTTTGTGTTATTTATCCATTGTTTTAGAAGAATATAATTTTGATTCATGTGCTTACTGTGGCAATAATGGAGCATAATGGTTAGGTTAATAGTAAACCTTTGGGAAATTCAAACTAAACGGATGAATTGGTTAGCGGAATCAACCATTTATTTGTATATGGCTAATTCAAGGTCTTGGGGGTAAAAAAATGGCGTAACAGGTCGAGTAGAATGACTCAACTAAATCATTCTGCAGTTAGGAAAATCAGATTCGTTACCAAATCGCACACCAAAAAATTTGCCAGAAGGTAAAATGCTATTCTAAGGGGAGATATCGCTTGGGAAATCATTTTTTTAATATTTAATAAATTGATATCGTGAAATCTGGTGATAAATAAATAATAACTTATCAAAAGCCAGTGGTATCCAAAATAAAACGAGTACCGTAACAATTTTTTTTTTTTTTGAAAATATTCTAATCGATTCATTGTTTCGCAACTAATCCGATTCGGAACGGATCCAGAATTAAGACTTTAAACCCCTCCCAAATGTGGTACTGAAGAGATTCGAACACAAGTGAGCTACCAGCATTTGGTTATGGTGTATTAATATTGAATGCATATGATCATATTTTTCTTTTCTTTTATGGTGTATTATTGTTATTATTATTATTCAGAGAGGAGGGAAGGGTGAACAACATTGATAACTCATCGACTACAATAAATTCAGCAACACACTACATGTTAATGGTTTTCTTCTTTACTTTTTACACAATTCTAAAGAGTAATGACTATGAGGTAACAAAATTGCGTGACCCCCTCATTCATTTTCCCATCACTTATGCCAGTAGTAGTTCCCAGTTACTATTTATTCCCTACTTATCCAGAGGTAAACGTCTCACTTTCTGGCTTCTGAGGTGGTGGCACAGCAGTAGCTGTTTCCTTAGCTGCTAAGATCAAGGTTAAGCCAATCATGTCAAAGCAAATAAGGTAAAGATAAAGAAGGATGAAAAGCGGGAGAGAAAAAAAAAGAAAAGAAAAGGAAAGTGCCCAAAAAGACTAACCAGGAGGTTGGATTTGAGGTTGAAATTGGCCTTCTTTAGGAGGGGGTGTCTGCCCCTGCTGCTGTTGTGCAGCAGATGCCTTTAGCTGCTCCTCTGTAATCTTAAGATACTCTTCAGAGCTGTATGCCCTACTTGGATCTCGTGTGCCATCTGCATTATCAGAGATATAACTATATTCTGGTATTTGACATCAAGCATGTATCTTGGTGGCAATTTGTCATTTATTAACCATGCTGTGCTATGGCCAACCAATGAAGTGCTTAGTTAATATGCATGATATGATGTAGATGTCTATATGATATAACTCTTGTCCTTGAACACAACAGAAAAAACTCTTCTTCGTGTTTATACAATTATCATTATACTCCATTTGGTTCTAGGAAGCACCAAGAAAAACAAAAAGTAAACGTTGTAAAAATCATACCGGATTTGATTATCAAAATGTGCAGTTTCTTATTAGAAAGAAGGAACTTATCAACTATTTCTGAACAAGGAACTTGTGCTATTGTTCCAAGTAATAGTTCCTTCCATCGAATCATTAAGATCTGATTTCTTCATTTAGAACTGTTAGCTGCATTTATTTTTTTAATGGACCTAAGGGATCAGGAAATGGGGGGATGATGGGGACACGTGATAAATATGTGTATAACCGTAGGAGATTTAAATCAAAGGAGAAGTAGTAACTGTCTTCATCGGGGTATGAGGGATTGAACCCCTAACAGATAACCACAACCCCTCGGTAAAGGTCAGGGGATACCAATTGAGCAATTAATTGTTCCATTTTGGATGCTAAGTGCAGGTTCACTTTTACATATGTGAAAAAATTATTTTTCTTATGAAGCACAGACTACGTATACATATGGCCAAAAACAAAAGACAATGCATGCATGATATGTGAAACAAATGATCAGAAATTTCAGTACATGAAGATCCTAAAGATCACAAATATAGGAATATATTACAGCTCACATGTGGTATTTCACCTCATTTGATTCTTTTAGCATGTCCTCGCTTTTCTAATATACTATTTGATGATTGAGGGAAAATCCTGATGCACAAGGGTTCCTGACTTGCGAGGGTAGGGCGATGGTCGATTATACGCAGTCTTACCCTTGCCTTTTTGCAAAGAGTCTGTTTTTCAAACTCGAACCCGTGATCCTCCGATCACAAAGAGCAACCTTACCGCTGCTCTAAGGTTTTCCTTCATGATAATTTTTCGCAAGTAAAATTTTTTTTTGAAACATTTCAATAACATAATCAGATCATCTCAATAGTATCTTAAAACATTTTTGATATCCCGAGGCAATTTATAGAAGTTGAGTTTGATGGATTTACTGGTTTATAAGACACATAAACAAGTAAACAACACACTTCAAGGTTTACCCGGAAACGTAATAATGAGAGGCAAGTATAATACAAGGTAAATCACTTATGACCAATTTTAAAATTTAAGCAGACCAATTAACCTACAGTAAATCTTTTGCATGCATTAACTTCTCAGTATTAGAATAACGGTTTCACAGTATGTCTAACATAACAAAAAACAGAATTTAGGAACTAGAGTTTTGGCTACTAAGACCTAAGAAGGTTAAAACTTCAACATGAATCACTCCATTATATTTCTAAACGCAATTTAGTATAAAGACTCCTTTCCCCAACAGAAAGAAACAAAGGTGAAAATGACATTAAAATCCATAACCTAGTAAGATATGTCTGGTCAACAAGCAAGAGGGAAAAAAAACAGTAATTTTGCCTTTTACTGCTAATGGATACCCATGTATTAAGAATTTATAAGTTAGAAAGAGGCTACATGAAAAGCAGGTGGTCAACTCATGACTAGCAAGGGCAATAACTAACATCCTACGTAGCATGGGCCTCATGATTTTTTTTTATTTTTTATTTTTTTTTTGGGGGGTGGGGGGAGAGAGAGAGAACAATGGGGCGGCATGGGATATGTGGGAAGGGAGGGAATCCCGTAGGCAGGTAACTAATGAATGGAGGAATTGGGGTAGGCATCTCCTAAGGCTGGGAGGTCAACTCTTTGGGTAGTGTCATAATTTCTATTTCTTGTTATTTTGATTTCTGTTCTTGTATTCCAAGAAAATTCCAGAATATACACAACCAGGTTCTCTGGTTTTTTATGCATTTGTATCAGTTCTATTAAGTGGTCCCTATCAATTGCTAAAATATTTTTCAATATAAAGCGATACTAGATTACTCACTAGGGTCAGCGGTAATCTGAGAACTACTGGTACTAGCAGTGGATGATGATGGAGTTGATGTGGTGTTGCGTCCATTGGAATTGTATGTGTTCTGTGTTGGACTTGAAGTGTCATCAAGACCAATCTCCCGTTCAAGTGTACTCTTAAATTCCCTTGAAACATCCTAAAGGGGACAAAATGGCAACCAATAACATCAAAGCATCTATCAAGTGGCATTGGCATAACAAATTTAATCTGAATTATTTTTCACCAACCTGAAGCTCTCTAATGGTGGGTTGAAATGCACGCAATGTTTTTCCCAGATTTCGAGCAACCTGCGTTTGATGACTCAGTAGAAGACCAAGTGGTTAAGAAAAGGAAAATGGGAAAAAAGATTACTACCATCACCAACAACAACTACAGTTTTGTTATATATTGTAAAGAAATGTATCCATTAAGGCTCAGAATGTCTCTCTAGTGAATTCCAACTGTCTGAAGGCAATCTGATTCAATAATAATCGTTGGAAAATGTAGACAATTTTCTACACCCTGAATGACAGGATGACTTACACAGCCTCCCTGCAAAATTCTTTCGAGCAATTGTGTGGACCAACCCATTATCTTCTGTTGTTTTATTAAAGGAGTAGACATCTCCAGTAAGCTTAGTATAAAGAATTAAGGAATCCCAGATAGGAGTATGAATTCTTGATCACTTATACCCACATAGGAAACTCATCTTTAGTAAAACGCCAAGGATTGTTGATCTGAATGAACATTACCAATATATCATTTCTCTAGCATAAGAACGAAACTTTGATATACAAATCAACTATGAGAAAAATAATGGATCTTTCTGTCTATGTTCATTGAAGGTATTATTGACATTTAATAAGCCAAAGAGAAACTTATTTCAAAAGTTCGCCAACTTTTAATGTTTTGTCTAGGACAGGAAGACTTTCTAATATCTATTTGAAGTAAAACCACGAGCCTATTATGCATCTTTTCCTTTTCTTTGCAAGGTAGAGGGGATATGTTTTTATGAGTGTTTTGAGATAAAACCACTTGTGGACCTCCACCTAAATACTTAAACAGTTAGGATGACTGGTTCCTTGACAAGGTAACAAAGCCTTGATCACTTTGTGATAAAGGGTTCAATGCTTGGTTCCTCCATTCTAATCATTAAGACTGAATTTCACTATTTAATGTTTCAGCACAAGTTATTGACAGCTTCTATTTTATCCACCCTTCAAGCCATTAGGGTTTTCATGTGAGGGGCGTGAGAGCTAAAGAATAAAAACCATTGTTGAACCTCAACTCAACAAGTTCAGCTTTTAGAATGACTGAAATAGTAAACATTATTAGGATAGAAAGTCATTCAAAATTCTTTAACTTATCATAACAAGCATAATTTTTGCAAATTGGCACACATAACACGTCTAATGGGAATTGCATAGGGAAAGGCATTCAAAATTCTTGTAAACATAACAATGATACCGAAGCACACACACATCTAACTCACCTCAGCAAGACCTTTAGGACCAAAAACCAACAAAGCGACAACCCCAATTACCAGAGCTTCGGGGGCTCCAACCCCAAAGAGAGACGCATAAACCACTTTACCCTTACACCTTCCCTTTCTATCTGCAAATGACTATAATGAGCTCAATAAACATGAAAAAAAAAAAAAAAACCCAAATGAGTAAACAACCCCACATGAGATATTGATTGTTACCTATATGAAGAAGAGGTTTTGGTTTACTTGAAATACCCATATGCTTTAAACCATTCCAAGGTGAGAAAAGGCCTCGACTCAGTGGAGATAACCATGAAGGGAGATGAAAATGCTGAATTTTTGGATGTGAAGCTATACAAGTGGATAGTGACACTGCACAGGACCCCAATTTCGGGCATAACACTGTTGAAGCCATTGCTAAGGTTGGTGTCATTTCTTGAAGACACTGTTTTTTTCGAAGACTTTAATGAATGTCGAATGATGATTGATGCTGCTTTGGCCTTTGATTACTGGGCGCACAAAAAATCCTATCTTCAATGTAATGGTCAAAGCCAAGATGTTCCTATTACCAATTGAGCTTATTAATTTAGGGTTTTTTTTTTTTTTTTAATTTTTTCGAAAATCTCATCTGTGTAATGAGAATTTCTTATTTTTGTTACGATAACCCAAAAATATTCACTTGTGAAAATAATTCTTGAGAATATTTTTTATCCCTACTCTATCATTTTCGTAAGATGTTAATGTGTTGTGTATTTTTTGTTCTTAAAATTATTTTTTAAAATAGTTAATAAAATAAATATTTTTTGTATTTTTTGTTTTTAAAATTTAAAATTAAAACACAAAATAAATATAAATGTTTTTTAAATTTGATTCTAAAAAATAAAAAATTATTATAATTTTTAAAATTATTTTTACAGAATAACCGTTATCAAACATGTTTCTTTATTTTATTTTTTTAAAATAAAAAACTGTTTTTAAAAATACATTTCAAACAGGCCATATATCTTTATAATATGAAAAAAAAAATGTATTCAAAATGTTGGAAATAATGGATATTGATTTTAATTGTTTAAAGAAAATTAGTAATTTTTTCTCAATTTTTAATTTAAGGAAAAATTATATCTACACCTGCGGCTGAAATAATACTAATTACTAGAATATGACGTCAAATCTTGATAAAATTTTTAAAAAAAATTAATAGATCCCATATTTAATTTCTGCAGCAAATATTTACTTTCTATCGCTTTTTGCAAAAAAACAAACCCTTATTTTAATACAATATTCATAACCGTAACTTTATTTTATACAAACAGCTGAAATCATCTCTGAGCTCATGTCGCATCAGAAAATTTATTTCTATCTTTAATTAATATATCATTGATAATGAAAAATCCCTAAAAAAATGAAATTACTTTTTTATTTAAAGAATTTTGGACCTTCTAAACGGTCCTTTTTTTTTTGGTAGGTTCCAAACGGTACTTTTAATCAAAGGAGGAAAAAAAAAAGGTATAAAAGTACCTCGTAATTCGTAATCATAATTAATCATGCAGATACAATTTAATGATAATTTTTTAAGGAAATTTTTTTTAAGATAAGCAAACGTTGTAATTTATTATTTTTAATAATAATATAAATCAAATAGGCAAATAGTATCTTTTTGCTTTCTTGGATTTATGATTTCCGCAATCAGTTGTCGCGGATTGGGCTGCGAATATAGCTCTAAAAGCCCATTACTCTCGCAATTTGTAGCTGATGCAAGAAAGACACAATAAACTAAGAAAAAAATATATAACAAGAAAAAAAAAATATTCAACACCTTTTATTAGAAGAAATATATTTAACACTACACATGGAAACGCCGTTGGTTTGTTCGCAGATGTAACATATCCATAATATGTGATATAATTAATGTTTCACATGTTATATGAGATAATTTTATCTCTTACATACATAAAAAAGTGTGTAAGACTCATGTGAGAAGAAGAGAAAAAAAATATAATATAAACCCCACACATTTTTATGTGTATAGAAAATAAAATTATCTACTATGATATGATAAACATTAATCCCATAAGTATATGAGATGATAGACATTTTATTCATGTTTTAAATTATTATTTTTTATCTTTTTATTTAAATTATACATTAATTTGTTATTTTTTAAATTATATTTTAATATGTCCCTATTTTTTTATCATATATAATATGACTTACCAAGGATTAGGGTTTGGTCAAACAAAAATAAATTAATTAATATTAATAAAAAAATTAAAACAGGAACAAAATAATTAATTAATATATTGTGTGTAGTACTCGGAACCAGTGGCCCACTTATTTGTAAAAGTCAGATTCAACCCGACTCAAATAAATTAGACCGGATTGAAAGGGGATTTTTTATATATAATAATATAAAAAGCTTAAAATTATCTAGAAGAAGAGAAAGAAAGAAAAAATATAGATCTCACACACTTTTATGCGTGGATAAAAAATAAATTTATCTCGTACAGCATGAGAAATATAAACAAATTATAAATTCAAGAGTTTTAGTTTTACTATCATTGAAATTTTTTTAATTTTTTTTTTGGTGAGGTCATTGAATTTTATATATATAAAGGGAAGCAAGACTTGTTCAAATAACTTTGATGATAAGTCCTTTTAAGCAAATATAGGTGGTGCATTTTATCCTTAAAGGATGGCGAAGAGAGGCAACAACATAAAGGAGAATATTATTTCTAGAAACAAATCTGCATGGCCGAATGATTTTGTTCTGTGTATTAAAATGTGTAGATGAAACCACCACCTACTTGTTAAATTGGAGCGTATTGTTTGTTGCCTTAGCTTTTTGATACGTACCACACAAACCCATCCCATGTCAAGCGCATCTTGTCAAGTAGGGCTTAGTTTCCACCTCCTAATGGACCCACCAATCAATGAATTACTTGGTGAATAAATTTGGTTTTTCCTCTTATTTTTCGTTCCTTAATTTTTTATGTTCTTTTACCCATCATTTGAAGAGTGAATCTATAAAGTGAAACATATTATTTGGAACTTGTTATACCCATCTTTGAGTGAAAAACGAGATTTCAAATACGTCAGTACTTGGAAAGTTATTCATAGGAACGGAACAAAAAATTGTTTAAAAGATTACGAATGATATGCCTCTTTAGTTTTTTTGATGAAAATAAAGATAGGATATTGAAACAACCAATTATAGTTATTACCAATCAATTTCACCGTTAGATTGGTTATTTTGATCCGATAGTTCAGATTTGATACTTATATAGCCCATTCTCTCTCCCTTTCTCTGTCTTCCCCCTCTCCTATACTCTCTACACATAGCTGTCGCCACTGTCCATCGTCTGCTGCCGCCCATCACCACCACCGCCAATGAAGGCTTATTTGATTTTAATATAAAAATCATGACTTTTTAAATAAATTAGGGTTTATTTGATTTTGCCAATGGAGGCTGAAGGCCAAACTGTATGTTTCTTGTGCTTCCCTGCTATATGACTCGAGTGATTAATAATTCTCCAAATTGCAGTGATTTTTTGCAGTGTTTAATAATGCTCCATGACCACCGCCGCCAAATCGTCGCCGCTGCCGCCCATCACCATCACCGTCAATGAAGGCTTATTTGATTTTAATATAAAAATTTTAATATAAAAATCATGACTTTTTAAATAAATTATGGTTTATTTGATTTTGCCAATGGAGGCTGAAGGCCAAACTGTATTTTTCTTGTGTTTCCCTGCTTCATGACTCGAGTGATTAATAATTCTCCAAACTGCAGTGATTTTCTGCATTTTTTGCGGTGATTACTAATGCTCCATGACTCAAGTGATTAACTGCAGCAACAAGGCGGTAGAGCGAGAGGGGCAGCGGCAGCGGCGCGGTGGTGGTGATAGGAAGCGGCGCGGCGGCGTCGATGGGCAGCAGCGGCGGCTATGTGTAGAGAGTACAGAGGGGGGAAGAGAGATAAAGGAAGAGAGAAAGGGCTATATAAGTATCAAATCTGAACCGTCGGATCAAAATAACCAATCTAACGGTGAAATTGATTGGTAGTAACTATACTGGTTGTTACAATATCCTACCAAAAAAATAAATAAATGTTATTTGAGATTATTACATAATAACTAAACCAAATCAAACCGATTCATAAAAAATGATTGTTTTTAAAATGGTTTATAAAATCAAATTGTCTCTTATTTTTTGGATACGGATCGAATCTTATATTTATTTATTTTTTTGAATAAATCACATGTATTCTATAAATACTTTTTATAAGAGACAATTGTATTTGGGCGGGTCTAGGATTAGGATTTTAAATCTCTCTCAAAGATAATATACTGGTAAGGATCGAACTTATGCTCTTAACCCTACCTGCTCAGTTCCCATGCACCAACTAAGCTATCATCATTTAGTTTAGATTTTATATTTTAAATATGATTTGGATATCACGGTTAGCCAAACCACTTTTACTAACCATATTAATCCGATTTCATTTTCACTAACAAGGTTACCATTAGACCTAATATTCTGTTTTTCAAATGTTAATGTTTTGAATACTCCGTTACAAAGACAATAAAATAGCATAAAATAGCACCAAAAGCTTTTGAATTTAAATATTTGGCTTGATACTGTTGCTCATGAAATTAAATAATATCGACTAGGAAAATGGTTAATTTTGTTTAATTATTTTTAGAAAAAAAAAATTTAGTTATTTTCAATCATTTTGCTTAATTATTTCTTTCTTCTTAATAATTGGTTATTGTACTCGAATAAAGGGCTAATGATTTGTATGGACAGATAAAATAAAGTTGCTTACTCTTAGATTTGAACATGAGAAGAAAAGAAAAATTATTGTATGGATTTGATTTGATTTAAAAGGCTAATGATCCTTAGATTTGATTTAAAACTGATTTTATAAACAGTTATAAAATCGGTTTTGAAGAAATATCAATTTGGTTATGATTTAAAATTAGTTTCGAAACTATTTTAAACCGAATTGAGAAAATCAAAATCAATTTTATTAGGAAAAAAAACTCGGTTCGGTTTGAAAATCAATTCGATTCGGTTTTTAATAAAAACTAAACCAAACCGCTACATATGTACACTCATACATATTAGTAGAAATACATATTAAATTTTGGGCATTACTTAACTAAGCATGAATTAGTGTACAAAAGAAAAGTTGGTCAAAAAACATTAGATAAAAGTAATCTTAAGAAAAAAAACACAGTAACTTCAATGTTAAAAAAGGTCGATCCCTTTTTTTCTGTTTATTTACTGGGGATAACTTTGGGTTAATCATCCGCATCCAGTAATAATGATAAGTTCAATTATAGTCCAACCTTTTGATGTTGGAGACTAGGTTAAAAAGTTGTATTATGTTAATAAAAGTTGCTTCTAGTCTAGTAGATGTTCTAAAGATAGAGACATCAAAGGCAAAGAAAAGGGATGGTGCAATTGGAGTATGATGAGTGGGGAGAAGATAATGAAAAATGAATGAAAGTGAACCCCTCACTCGTGCAAGTTTAAAGCAGAG